ACCTCTTCGAGCTTTGGACGCCAAAGTGCGTTGTCATTGACACTCCGCCGAGCATCTTGCCTAGGTCGCATACCGCTGTACGGAAGACCTCGAGAGCTTGGAGCACTTTGTGCACCGACTGCCTCACGTTGAGAACTATCGCGCTCTCTCGGAGCGGCTCCTAGCCGTCGAGCTAACTTCGTGTGACGATGGAGAGCCTTGCACCGTTGGAAACGGAAATCGTTGCAATTCGTGCTCAAAACCAGTTGCTGGTTCAGCTTCTGGGTGGCCGAGCGGCTTTAAGTGTCGCCCCGATACAGCTTAAAATGGGTGTGCATCCTTCTTGGGAGTTTTAGCGTGCACGCAAGGCCTCGCTTGGCCACGACCTTAAAAGGTCCAAAACCGTGGACAGAGCTTAGTTTTAAAGACAGCTTAGTTTAAAGACAGCAGAAACTGCATGTGTAGAAAGGCTTTCGTCATTTGATAAAACCAGGAATCCGCCCTCAAAATTTTTTAAGCATTTCTTCTGCTTCTCCGTCTGCATATTCTTTCTTCATGTCTTGACTTTCAGCCATCGCATCGCGAACGTGTCGTAGGACACTCAGTCTGGTAGACAGGAATTTATCGACTTCTTTACTAGCGGTGAGGGGGATGACATCAGCTAGCCACTCGGCTATTCCTCCCCACCAAGCCCTGAACCATGGGATGGCGGCGTCAGCGGGACGCGAGGATTAAAAGCCCGTTCACGTATTACGGTGTGTAGCCGGTAGATGAATGCACTGCATTGTTCAGAGCAAGATCTACGAGTGGCTTCGGCGTCTCAGCGCAGGCTGCAAAGAACGACGGTATTCACGCGCTCAGTTTGACCATCGGTCTGCAGATGGTCCGTTGTTGACATAGTCAACTTGGTGCCCAGCACCCCGAAGATTGTAGACCAAACCTTCCAAGTGAAGCATGGGTCTCTATCAAAGCAGGGGTCTATGTTGTCGAAAGACACAGTCCACAAACAGCATCGCTGTGCCCGAACCGTCGATGGTGTGAGGCAATGCCGCACGATGAACCTTCTTGCTCAAACGGTCCACAAGACCACCACACCCGTGTTGCCCGCAAAGTCCTTCGGCAGGCCAAACACAAAGTTCATACTCATGGCCTGCCAACACCCGGGGGTAGCGGTGAACTGACCATCGGCGCTGTCGCATTGACACGTCTCACACGTGCGCACAAATATGCTCGTCTATATGTACAGCTTGGGCCACCAGTAGCGACAACACACAGAGCTACAGATCTTTTCACGACCGAGATGACCACTGAGTGGGGTGTCGTGGGCCTCATAGAGGATACAGTAATTCAGATCCTTATCGTGAGAAACCACAATTAGTAGCGTATCCGTCGGATCGGTGCTATAATACAGCAACCCTTTGTTCAACGAATATCGGCGTAACCGTGCGCGCTATATTTCTTGTCCGAGATTCCGAACTCCTTGCCCCCGAGAGCATATAGCAGTGCCACACACATGCCATCACCCGTGGATGCAGCGCGGGTCGAATCCCTCTCTGACGACGTCACCGTCGTGACATGAGCAAGCTCATATTCCGGTCTGCGTGACTATGCATCAGCCAAAGCACTCTGCTTTCCTGGCTTATACTTTACTTCGAAGTTATATTCTGCGAAGAAGAAGAGCCACCTGACAATCCTCTGCGAGAGGTGAGGCAACTGAGTCGCAGTGCGTAAGGACGCATGATTTGTTTAAATCACGAACGGCTTTGAGCCAAGCAGGTGCACTTTGAACTTGACAATTGCATACTTCATCGCAAGAAATTTCTTGTCGTTAACTGGGTAGTTCATCTCTGCTACCTTAAGCTGGCGATATTTGAACGCGATCACCCGATCTCACACCTCGGCGTGTGCTTGCAGCAGTACACAGCCGATGGCAAAGTCTGAAGCGTCACAGACGACACTAAAAGGACGGTCGGGGTTCGGCAAAGCCCGTATTGATGCATCAATGAGGCTATCTTTGACCCTGTCCCCAGCTTCCAGATGCTCGGTGTCCCAACACAATTCCGTATCCTTCAATAGGAGATTCGACAACAGCCGTGCCATTTCCGCATAATTCGCGCTATACTTATGCAAGTAGTTGGCGAGGCCAAGCCACTTGCGCAAGTCCTTTTGTTTTTTTGGAATTACCCAGTCCACAAAGGCCTTGACCTTAGTAAGATTCGCTCGAAGGCCACGCATCCCAATGAAGCACCCTAAAAACGGAACTTTATTAGCGCCGAAGATGCACTTATCTCTGCATTAGCATAAATCTTATTCGCACGCTTGCACTCTAGCTCCGCTCTCAAATGGACGATGTGGTTTTCCTCATCTGTACTACCGTGCATCGTACAACTGTGGACGAAGATATCATCGAAGTATGTCTGTGCATACGCCCGGTGGGGCCTGATCAACTGCGCCACGAGACGATTAAATGCTGCTGGTGCATTAAACAGTCCTTGGGGTATCACCAGCCACTCCCAGAGCATCCCGCTCGGAGTAGTCACCGCTGTCAGCGGAATATCACTCCCATCAATGAGCAAATGGTAATACCCATCGTCCACGCCAAGTGCACTGTACTTTGTACATCCAACCATGTTGTTCTGGAGACATCCTTTCTAGGAATCGGCGTCTGCGCCAGAATGGTATTAGCGTTGAGCTTATTGTGAGCGTGAACAATACGCCACTTGCCGTTCGGTTTCCAGACACAAAACGTGGGTATCGAATGGGAAGACTTGCTCTCACGCACCATTCCTGCGTCGTGCTTCGCATCGAAAAAGGCGTAAATGACGTTACACGGCTCCTTAAACAGGGGCCACTGCCGTGTTACGTAATGTTTAGCACTCGGAACCACTCGTTCTGGAGCATGGCGGACGACAAAGCCATCTCGGCCTCTCTCACACAGAGCAGGAGACTCTCTCCACCCTTACCCTCGAAAGTCTTAATGCTCGCCATGAGCGGCCTTGGTCAGGTTGAGGCATCCGTGGCCGACGGTGGCGTCATCGACGCAGTCGATGCCGACATTTTTCCCCCTAGGTTCTCTAGCAGGGCATTTTCTCGAAAACGCCTCTAGGCGCGAGTTTATCGCCTAGGGTCCTTGTGAGGCAAGGTGTTGCACGCCCTCCGGGCCAAGCAAGGACATTAGCTTATGAAGCCCGTCCTGCATGCCCTGGGGCAAATAGGATAATTGCTCCATCCTAACAGAGGGTCAGTCGTAACGACTGAGGCGTAGATTGAATACAAGTGCTACTTAGTGCAGCGGGGCTGCCGTAGCTCTTTGCTTAGAGGAAGCCTACTAAAGTCGCCGAACTTACGGTCTATACCAGAACCTGTAGGACTGTAGCGGATCGCAATCCGCTACCTTCAAGAGTACCCAAAGCCTTAACGAAGGTAAATACCTTCTTCCATTCAAAATTGAAACTGTATTTATTTGTCTTATTTGCGACAGAGCCGCCTATATCTAAAGCCTAAAGGTTTTCCTATTTATATAGTAAAACCTAATTAATATGCATAACTACTGGCAGTCGTGGCTTCTTGTTACGGTGTAGCCACACCATTGTGTGAATACACCAATTTGTATAATCCACATCTTTGAACGGTCACACCATCTTGTGTGACCCACCCTTTCATACAAGGATACATTTAATCCGTTTACACAAAGCCTGGATCGATGAATATATTCGTAGTGGCCGGCTGGCTGTGTGATAGCCAAGCAAGAACTTTTAATATAGTGAGGCTGCAGATGATTTCGCCACCGGATTCTTAATATGAGCATACTTTATTTGATAAAATCATTAATTCAAGACGTGAAGGTAAGTGACAACGACCAACGTAGCCATCATCTAACACGGAACACCTACGCCTCCTGATTACTAAGTTGAAATTTAGTAGTTATAGAAATTTATAAAAAAACATCCCTAAATAAAATATTTCTTAGCCCTAATCGGTCATGATCCGAAATGGACGCCGCCGTTTCCAGCCCCAATTTTGGCTGCATCGCTGCTAAGCGAACAAAGTCATTTCCCCACTCCCTACTGCCGCAAATGGGCCGAATTATTGGGCATCTCTTGCGGATGTTAATAGCTTTAATGTCGCTTTTATCATATGCTTCTGCGTGCTCAACTTGTGACATACCTCCAGCTTCTACTCTAAACTTTTGCTCGCCTTTTGTCACATACTCAGCATGTCAAACCAAAAGCACTTGGCAAGCTATGGTGAGTAATTTTTTTTACTGTACTACAATTCATCACATTGATCTATACGAATGTCCTACTTTTCAGGACGCAATTGCCTTAGAGCAATACAACAAGCTAGTGAATGTCACGAGTATGGATAAAACTTGTGAAAATACACTGAAACAAATTTCGTGTATGACAATTTTCAATGTGTGCGAAATGGGAACTTCGGAGACTTTGTGTCTCGAAAGTTGTATGAAGACCATTGACTTTGACTGCAGTGTAAATATGACGATTCCAATTTCTGACATTTGTGGAGATGAAAGAAATCCGTTGATGGGTATCAGTGATGAAGGCAAGTGCTTTACCACGACGTATAATGGACCAGATAAGGCCGTGTGGATTATAGGGTTTTCAATTGCAGTCGTATTTTCGTTTCTGGCGAGTATTGGTATCAATTTGCAGAAGAAAGCTCTGAAACAGAATGAACTGATGTCTGAGCCGTTACCAGCGTATCGATTACCATTATGGTTAATAGGCTTTATCCTTTGTGCAGTGGGTTCAATACTGGATTTTGTTGCTTTTGGACTAGCTCCACAGAGTTTATTGGCTCCATTGGCGGCACTTACTCTTGTGTGGAACATGGTGCTCGCACCTTGTTTTAACAAGGAAAAATTAAGTAAAAAGGATATTGTCTCGACACTGATCATTTTTGTAGGGGCAACAATTGCCGTTGTATTTGCGTCGCACTCGTCGCCTTCGTACAACTTGAACATGCTTTTGGAATTGTACAGGGATCCGCTTACTATTGTGTATTTTTGTATTGTTTTCCTGACGATATTGGCTCACTATGCTGCAATTAAGATCATTCATGACCTATCTTTGACGAGCAAACGTCACCGGATAATTCAAGCGGGTACACCAAATATGTGGTCGACGATTTGTCTCGTGGGATATGCTGGTCTTGCGGGCACATTAGGTGGTCAGTCGGTTCTATTTGCAAAATCGACGGCTGAGTTGCTAAAAGGAGTATTTAATGGAGACACTGATTGCTTACTGCAATATCAAACGTATCTTATTGTCGTGGGATTAGTTATATGTCTGTGTCTTCAAATCAAATATCTCAATGGAGGTCTTGTGCATTATGACGCTCTTTCAATGGTTCCGGTTTACCAAGCGTACTGGGTTATTAGTGGTGTATTAGGGGGCGTCATTTACTTTCAAGAAATTCGCTCGTTTTCAGTCTTACAAGCAGTCATGTTTGTATTTGGAATTGGTATTAGCATCTTTGGTGTAGTACTCCTGTCTCGTCGTAAACATGCACCGTCAGCGGTATCTACTAAGAGTAAGTTTGAACGAGGGTTTAGCTTTACAGCATCGGAAAGCAAACTTGAGCCGTTAAGAAATTTGGATACGCGAGTAACACGTGTCCCAGAAGGTGCAATGAATGTAGAAGAGATAGAAAATAATAGATTCGAGACAAGTACAAGTCGAGACTTGCTCTCGTCTATTCTTGAAGCATTAAGTGAAGAGAGTGCGACTGAAGGATCAGACGATGATGTCGGTATTCGTGGTCGACAAAGTGAAAGTGAAATGTCTGAATATGCGAATCGTCAAGCAATCGATAATTATCTCGATATGTCTACTACTGTTGGTTTATCCGCAATTTTAGGCGGGCTTGGATTCACTCGTTCCGAAGAAAATAGTCTCTTAAATCGGCGTATCTCGAATCGGTAAGTATTTGTTTCATTGAATACAATTGCGATGGGAAGTTTGTTTAAACAAGTGTTTTTCTAGGTCTTCACGAAGTACGCGACACAGTGTCGACGATATTGAAGTAGGTTTGCCAGCCGCCACGCGCGAAGCCAATTCACACAAGTCATTACCAAAACGACGCTCTATCACATTTTCTAATCACAGATCGACATCGTATAAAGATGAGATGGATCAAGACAAGAAGAAAGATGAAGACAACAGTTTGGTGTAATGGTTTTCAGTATACTATTTTTATTTCTGACTTTTCGATATATCTAGTCAAAAAGTGTCATTAGGTCAATAGAAATTGTCTCAAACATTAGTTTAACGTCAAAGCATCTATTACTCTGCGGGGGACAAAAATGACGCTAGGGTGCCAAATATCATGAAAACGATTGCAAGTCCGGCCAATCCTGCATTCAGTACAATCTCTTTCTTTGATAAACGGTGCGAAAAGAGCTTGAGGTAGCAGATACACGGCAGAAAGACCGAGACGAGCATAGCAAAAAATGCTCCAAGGAACGATGTGACACGGGCAAAGTAAGGTACGAATAATGCACAAAACAAAGCTCCGACTCCCAGGAATGTACGGATACTAGCACGATAACAGACCAATTTCAAGCTTGATTTGTTGCGTGCAGCTGCGCGTTTTTGACTTGGTGAGAGCATGAACTCTTCTATTGCTAAAGCGATAGGATGAATCGTGATTGCAATTTTGCTCATTGGGTTTAATGCAATTGTCCAAACCACCAACTTTGTGAATGCACATGGATACGATGCAATGAGATTCAAAGTGATTTCTTTTTGAGTCGCAGCTCCATACATGAGATAGCCAGCCACTTCAATCGCACCATAGACAAGTCCCACAAGTAAATACGAGAGATTAAGTACGCGTGGGTATTCATCCTTGTTTGCCAACGAGCTGCAAATCGACGGAAAGACCGAGTGACCTCCAAATGCCACCATAGTAAGACCAATTGCCAATGGAATGCGATCTAAGTCACCAATCATCTGCACAGGTTGCGGATGTAATAGACTTCCCAAAGTGTAATCCGGTGCATCCGTATCAATGTCAAAACCAACGTATAGGATCGTGTAAAGGCAGAAAAATGACGATAAGATGCCCAAGACACTGAAATACGACAAAATAGACATGTGGGTAGTCCACAATGACGGCATGATAAGTAAAAACGAGACAACGGTTAGCTGCATCTCTGTAAACAATGGAAACAATGCTGCTAGTGTATCCCCAACTGTCATTAAGAAGCAAAGAAATGTGAATTAAGGACCAAATGTTACCTTTGAGACAAAAGATTGACTTACTTAAGACGAAAAACATGGCACAAGCTGCAAATAGCTCAGAGAAGAATGTTATACCAATGATTACTCGTCCTCGCGTCCCAAAAGCTGCCTCACCAATATCTGGGTACGTCGTCATTCCCACTTGATAGCTAAGACATTGGCCCAGTAATTTGGCCGTGTGGTTTGTTACAAGTAAGAAGAAGAAAAAGAGTAGTCCACCAATAAGCAAACCACTAGAGCGCATTGAAAATGGACTTGATAATACACCAACGCCTAATAACACGTTGATAGCGTTGAATACTGCATCTTTAAAGCTGCTGGTACCATGAGACGTAACTGTGCCAGCGCTACTAGCTGGTGACCAAATGGCCTCTTCCTCTTGTTGTAAAAGTATTTGTCTTTCAGTATATGGGCCAGTACTAAAGGACCTGACTCGATGAGGTGTCAAGGACATTGCAACAGGAGATGCCATTCTAAAAAATTCAAGATAAATGACTTGATCAACTTTTCTTGGAAACGAGAGAATTTATCGCATACCTCGCATCAAGACCCTGTTCAAATGTTGCGGGCCATGATGAAGCCGCATCTTGGTCACGAAACCGCGTATGAGATACGGACGGTGAATATGAAGGCAATAGTGTCTGGTGTTCATCAATGCTTGCAGATCCCATCAGGTAATCTCGGAAATTATGTGGAATTAAGAGTTAAAGTGGTCTGGGTGTTGATATATGGAGACCTTTGATTGGGTGGCCAAGGGCTATCAAATTGACGATTGGAAACCTTTCGACGTAACTTCTTTGTGACCACAAACTCAATTCGTTATATAAGCCATGCACTACAAACAGGGACGTTCAATGTAGTACTACCTAATAGATGCTTGAATGCAGTGAGTAGCAAAGGTACAGAAGATTGTGGAGTCGCTGCTTCGCCACCAACGAAGGTTTTTACTTCAACTGTCGGGCATGAGTGTGATCGAGATATAGTTTTATAATAAATTTGGTGACGTCATCTCTGAGTGTTCCTCACTTCCTTTTTCGTTTAGACTTTTAAGGTTCCGATGTAGCGAGGACGCTCAAGATCGCAAACAGGTAATTGTTCCAACATCTACATATCCAATGTTTCATCGTCATGTTGCTTTCGATCTCCCTGGTTCTCACCATAGCAAAGCACGCTTGGTCTCATTAAATGTAAGCTTTTGTGAGAAAATGCAAGTGGAATGCAGCCGCCCTGACCAAGATTAACACCATGAGAGCGGTATCAAAGGAATGAGGATCGATCACACAATTAATATAAATGAAATAAAGCCTGTAGAAGCACATACAGACATCTGGTCAGCGATAAATTTAAGTCTTGGTCCAGACTCGAAACTATCGGAGGCGTCTTTTATGGGACTAAAAATAAAAAAGGATTACCACCAATTTACAGGAATCGAGAGGCCGATCTTAGGCACTGGCGTATGCGATGAGAACATATATGTATTTGCTGACACCTTTACCATATGCGCACGTACGATGAACTTACTTATACTTGTTAAACCTCGATCAAATTGCGCTCACTATTGTTTCTTCTTAGGTGGCCATTCAGAGAGGTAAAGCTTGTTCGAAACGTATCCAGCATTGGATGTGATTAATAAGTACGTCTATGCAGCAGTAGAGCAGCAGCAACACCGCCTCTATCTAAATCTATACGTTTTCCTATATTGATAGGAAAACCTAATCAAATGTATAACTACTGGCATTTGTACTCAATTGCGTCCATTCCCATGTTATTACAAGTCACGCTTGCGTCAAACTACGTTATCATTTTTATGATTGACTTAATGAGGTACACAGCAGTATAGACATCGAAGATTTTGCTTG